AAAAAAAAAAAAAAAGAAAAACTAGAATGAAGACATTCGATTGGAACTGTCTCAAAGAATAAATGTGCACACGTGTGAGGTTTCTGCATCATGGCTGTAGAAAGAGAAGAGGAGCCTCTTGCTAGCCTGACTAACTTATCCTGAGATTGACAGCTTTTGTCCTTTGTTTTTACTATGTGGCTCAACATATGCCACAGAACATTCCACTCAAGGAGTCCCTGAGGTAAGTGGGGCAGGCACTGGCTTCACCAAGGGCCCCAGAGTGAAGCCACTCGCTCTCACTGCTTCAATCAGAAAGGTTGAGCCCAGCCAGTGGCACAGGCCTGCAATCCCAGCCCTGGCATGGTAGAGGCTCAGGTTACATGAGATCCTGTCTTGTTGTCCCAAGAGAGGAGAGAGAGAGAGAGAGAGAGGATCTGGGGTTGATTTGGTATTTGTTGTTTGTTTTTTATTAAATGAGTGGATAAAACAGACCTACTGGAGCTGGGCAGGTGGCTCAGTGGATAGAGTCCTTGCCTCACAGGACTGAGGTCCTGAGTGTGAATTTGTAGAAGCCATGGAAAGTTGGACATTGTAGTGCACGTCTGTAATCCAGTCTTTCTACAGCAAGCTATGATGCCAAAACAGGAGAACCTTCAGGGGCTCACAGGCCAGCCAGTTTCACAGAGATAACGGTCAACAACAAAGAGGCCTTTTCTCAAACAGTGGGAGATGAGGACCAACACCCAAGGTTGTCCTCTGACCTCCTCCACATGTGAACTAAGGCATGCATTCCCCCCCCCCCAAGACACACACATGAGGGGGTAGAGAGAAAGAGGGGGGAAAGAGGGAAGGAGAGAGAGAGATGAAAGAGGCCTGTTACCCTTTTGTCAACTGGTAGAAATTCCAGAATCTAGATTAAATAGAAAGCAGAGCTGGGTCCCATATCCACTGTCAGTCCAGGGACACAAGCTGCTTCCTGGGACCTAGCATGAGACTCAGAACAGTGACACTGACCCAGAGGCAAGGCTTCTCTCAGCAGGGCTGGCTGCGTGTGGCAGAGGGAAGCAGATCTGTCTAAGGCTTGCCCTGTGACCCACCTTGCTTCTGTCTAAGGCTTGCCCTGTGATGCCCTGTGACCCACCTCGCTTCTGTCTAAGGCCTGCACTGTGACCCACCTCACTCTGCCAGGTGCTCCTTACCTGGGTTTCTCGGGTTCTTTGCCTGGCAGTATTATCAGCACCAGAGAGGACTTCTCGACAGCTGAACACGAGACCACTACATTCAGCTGCGGGATGTACTTGACCTGCTGGCACCAGTTGGGGTGGAGACCCTGGGAGAGAAAAATAGCTGTAGCAGGAGACCTCCCAGGGGCAGTCAGGTTCCATATCCTGCCCTTGGAACATGGCCAGGGCCAGGGCCAGGGGCAGATAGAACTGGAGATCACAGAGTCTATGGCCCTTGCCTTCATGACCACAGCTTGGGTAAAGTGATGTTGTCCAAAGTCTTGGTGTCTGGCCCATCCCTGTCTCAGAAACCTCTTAAAAACACCAAGCCTACCATCATCTGGACTCCTGCTTTTTAAGAGTCTCTGAGATTTAGAAGCTGCAGAGACTGGGTCATGATAATATCATTCTTCCAAGCAGGGAGAAAGAGTGAAGCTGAAATCAAGGGTGCCTAGGTCCCAGTCTGTCTTCTACTGGCTACCTCCACTACAAGATCCTGCATGTCTGGGCCCATTCCTACACTCTGTATTTGTCAGGAGGGGCAGAATGCACACTCTTCCAGGACTGTAGTAACAGAGATGGCACTTGGAGGGCAGAGAAGGCCGGCTGGCCCAGGCTCCAACTGCCCTCTGTGAAGTCAAGAGTTTGTCAACTTGACACAAACCCTGGGAAGAGGGAGCCTCGGTTGAAGAATTGCCTCCATCAGACTGGCCTGTGGGGTCCTTTTCTTGATTAATGACTGATGTGAGAGGGCCCACCCCTTGTGGGTGGTGCCAGCTCTGGATAGTGGGCCTGAACTGTGTAAGAAAGCAAGCTGAGCAAGTCATGGAGAGCAAAGCAGTATGTAGCACCTGTCCATGGTCCCTGCCTCAGCTCCTGCCTGAGTTCCTGCCCTGGCTTCCCTCAGTGATGATGGTGATAGAGTCCTGGAAGACAAAGAAACCCTTTCATCTCCAGATTGACTTTGCTCAGTGTTTTATCTCAGCAACAGAGAGCACACTAATACATCCACACTCTGGCCCTGGCTAACACCTGTGCTTAGCCTTCCAGACTGGGACGAGGAACGTGGTCAGTGAGCAACAGGGATGGGGCAGACAATTGAGATTATCAATATTCAGTCAGCACCTTAGACATGCAAGCCACTGGGTTGGGTCTTATGTAACTATTTCCTCTAATGTCTGTCACAATAATGGTACCTAAGCCCAGGCACTGAATGAGGCCTGGGATGCTTAGTAACTTCAAGGGCAAAGGTCTTCCAAATGAAATGACCACAAATGAAAAGAGGGGGAACAAGGAAAGCATGGGGGTGCACACAGCAACCCCAGCACTTGAGAGATGGAGGTAGAAGGATCCAGTGTTCACAGACGCCCTGGAAACATGAACCCCAGCGTCAACAAAGGCAAAGAAAGAAGAGTTGGGGAGGGGGAGTAGTGTGAGCACCACTTCCTGTAAAGTTCTGTGCCCATTCCCCAAGTGTGCCCCGCTCAGATCTGCCCTGAAAGCCCCATTCCTTCATTAGTTCCTCAAATGTACCAGGAGTCACTGTGCCCTGGATGCAGGAGCTAGAGACAGAACAGAGGGCACAAGCCATCAAGCCCCTGTCCTGGAGGATCTGTCACTGTGGTAAGGATGACAGGACAAGGACAATGGACAGATACTTCAAAGCTGGGACTAACGACCTCTTCTGGGGACAGGGCCAACAGCAGAGGCAGCAGCAGAGCATTAGGACCTGAGGTAAGGGGATGAAAGGTGAGCCAAGCAGAAGACCTCTGCAACCCAAAGAAACAACATGTGCTAAGGCCCTGTGGTAAGAAGGGGCTTGAGGAGTTCTGGGGAAAGCAAGGGAGCCTGTCTCAGCAACAAATGAGAAAAAAGTAGAGAACAGAAGAAGATGGGATGTGGCTCAGTTGGTAGAGTGCTCGCCTAGTGTGCACAAAGCCCCAGCTGGGTTCAATCCCCAGCACATGTGTGGTGGCACATGCCTGTAATACCAGCACTTGGAAGATGGGAGCAAAAAGATCAGAAACTCAAAGTCATCCTTGGATACACAGCAAGTTCAAGGACAGCCTTGAATACATGGGACTCTGGACTCCAGGGAGGTGGGAGGGGAACAAACAATGGAGCAAGCCAGAGGCTTGATCAGCTTGTGTTTGATGCTCAAGTTAAAGACTTGAGATGGTTTCAAGTATGACAAGAAGCCTCTGGGATGACATAACTATATTCTACGGCAGATTTCCTCTGCTTGCTGAGTTAGCGGCATGGAGAGAATAGAGTAGGGAAACCAAACAGCAAGCCAGCAGCTGTCCAGAGAAAGGTTACATTCTCTGCCTGGGGGAAGCCAACAAAGCAGTGAGATTCAGGGCTAGCTCTAGGACATATATACCTTTGTCCTAGAGATATGTGGTCTGGATGCAATAACTTCCTGCACTCTGTTCTTGGAGACCAAGACCCCAAGAGCGAGGCCAGGCCTAGAGGGCAGATTCATTTGGGGCATTTATTTTTTGAGTAAAGCATGTATGTGGATAATTACAGGCTAAGGGAAGACACAACTTACCTTCATTCGGAAGCTTTTATACAGAGGCGCCTTCTCATTTAAGAGCTTCCTCAGGGAAACCGTGAACCAGTGATCTGACAGGGAAATGACCGGAGTGCTCGTTAGCAACCTCTCCTCTGCCAGCTTAGATGACATCTGCACTGATAGGCATCTTCCATTCCCAGAACACCAGCCAACCAGCCCCTCCTGGGAGCCCCGTGTAACTTCATGAGCTCCCCCAGTATCTCCACCTGTTCCCCTGCTGCCCAGCCTTTCCCTACAGCCCACAGTGCAACAATGGCCAGGGTTCACACACTCTCAGGTGCTGCCATCTGAACAAGCTGGCTCCCCAATAGTGAGCTCCAGAAAATGAGACTTCAGGCTGTATTCACTCTGAAAGTGATCCACTAGGGAGCTTGCTGTTGTGCCTCAGAATACACGGCCTCCTTGGCCAGAAAGCAAAAGTCTCAAGAAGTACAGGGTGCACATATATATCGTGAGCAATTCATACATGCCACGCACCCCACCCACCGACTGCCCTGCCTTTGTGAAACCACCCAGTCAGCAGCTGATGGACCCCCCAGGGAGAGCAAACTGATGGAGATGGATGAGTCCAGGGAACATTTGTTAGTCAGCAGCTGTTCAAGGAAGTAGGTCAGAAGTGCTGGTCAGTTTGGCTTTAGGTCTGAAAGTAACTCCCAGGGATCATGGAGGAAAAACACTGGAGGGAATGGGTGTGTGGTATGGGGGCATCTGAACAGAGGTAAGCGGAAGCTTTCAAAAAAAAAAAAAAAGTCCCCAAGCTGGGGAGATAACTCAACCTGTAAAATGCTTGCTACACAAGGAAGAAGATCCAACCTTAATCCCCAGAACCTGTGAAGACCACACTTGTTACCAGAGCTGGAGGGGTGGAGACGGAAGGGTTCCTGGAACTTGGTGAACCCAGGAGACCTTCCTACTTAGAGACCCTGTCTCAAAACACAAGATGGACAGTCCCTGAGGAACAATAACTGGGTTAGCCTCTGGTCTCCACCTACATTTGCACATATACACATAAGCATCCAGAAAATATTCATACACACACATACATGAATACACACAAAGGAAGTCCTGAGCCAGACAGGATGCTGCTTGTGGCTGCTGATATGGAAGCTGCCGAAAAACAATGTATACGGCCCATCTCTCCCACTAAACTACGAGGTCTGGGGAGGCACTTTATGTACCCAACACTTATTCTATACGCCCTATAGCAGAGCCAAAACTTAGGTGTCCCTACACCCATTTTAATAAAGAGACTGATGAGCAGAAAGGTTAAGCAACTGGATTCAGGTCACACAGAGCTAGGTCCATATTTCTTAGCTCTGTTCATCCCCTCTCGCATCTCACCATGTCTTCATGCTTGTTCCCAGCCTTCAGTTAGTAGGTAGGTGGCCCAGAAGAGCTCCCACCCAACACTCAAGCCTAATCCTATGTCTTGTTCATTCGCCACTCATCAAAGAGACCACTGTAACCCCTAAGCTAGTTCCCAGGGTGACACAATCATGATGGGAACATGGCAGCCACCAAGGGCTGATGGGACAAGGACAAAGTGCTAGCTGGAAGTGTAGCTCAGTACTACAAAGCTTCTCTGACATATTGAAGGCTCCAGATTCAATACCTAGTGTGTGTGCATGTGCATATGTGTGTGCACACGCGTGCACACGCGCACACACACACACACACATACAAAACAAGGGCACTAATATTTGCATCTTTCCTTCCTTAACACTGAACATCAAGAAACAAGCTTAACAGGGTCCTTGCCAAGGTCTGAGGACCCTTGGAGACCTCCTTAGCTAGCAGTCCCAGCAAAGGCTGCTCTGGTGTCTTGGATGGAAGGGAAGTCAGTTTCCCTGCAGGTGGGGCCCCAGGGTCCTGGGCTCCTAGGGTGGCTAGGGTCCTAACACCACACCTAAGGATCCATCCCAGATGTGATACAGCTCCTGTGAGTCTCCAAGGCAGCCCCAGGCCAGTGACCTCTGTTGACCTTGCACCCTTCCTCAAAGAAGCTCTGAACCACTTCCTTAATCATTTTAGGAAACATCCTAGCCAGTGTTGACAATGGGACTCTGAACACACACAGGCTGGCTTTAGATCTCAATCACCATTCCCCAGCCTCAGGGTGTGTTCTAGTAGCTTCAGCTCACTAAATCTCTTAATGGGCAGTAACAAGTCACCAGTCCTCATGGGTGGAGATGACTGGAGATGACATATCAAGAGCCCTGCAGACAACTACTTACTCACAATACTGCCAGGCCGGGTGGTCCCCGGGCTCCACCACACCCACCCATGGTCTTCCCGCCTACTTTCACCCATTCAAAGATAGCTCAAAACCAGGTAGAACAGAATCCCTCTCACAGCCATCAGATAGGGCTCCTATCCTGGGCCTCAGAGGATAGGAGGCATGTCCCAGTGTCCCACCCAAGCACTTTATTTTCCCAGAGGTGAGAAGGGTCCACAGCCTTCAGTCCTCAACTGCAAAAGGTCCCACCTCACAAGACTGTCCCTCAGCTCAGATCCTCTGGCCTTCTCCTGTCTATCTCCTAGCCTCAATAGGCATGGTGCCTTCTGAACTCCAAGGAACCTCCTCTCCAGAGATTCAGAGCAGGGACAGGGAGGCAAGAACCCCTCAGAGACCATGGCCAACTTAGTACCCACATCTACCCACTCCCTGGACCTCTGCCCATGCCTTTTAGCTACCCCATTTGGAGGTCCGGGGGAGGATCTGTGGGTTGAACAGCCCACTAGATGGATTCTCAGAGATGAAAATGACAGCATTGCCCTTGGTGTCCCCGTAGCAGAAAATCGCTTTGTGATAGTCAGTCCTGGGGAGAGATAAGGATAGAGCATGCTTAAAGGAGAGGGGAGGCTGATTTCTGAAGAAGAAGGTTGTTCTTTCATTGGAACAACAAACAGCAGCCTCCCTGAGAGAGTGGGGACTGCACCAGGGCACTGGGTACTTGGGGTTTTATAGGGAAGAAAAGGGAGCTTTGGGGTACGAAGATTTTTGTCTGCAGACCTATTCTCTGCTTTCCCGAACTCATAAAGAAGGTCCTCATCACACTGGTATCCTTGTCACAAGTTCTCCTGGAGGTCCTAATGACACAGTGACCCCTGACACCGAACTCCCTGCCCCTAACTGCCCACTGAGTTCTCCTGGAGGTCCTAATGACACAGTGACCCCTGACACCGAACTCCCTGCCCCTAACTGCCCACTGACACCACTGACATTATCAGTGCATCACTTCTTCCTGCGTGGAGTTTTTCAGGCTGCTTGAAGCTTTTAGGTTAGTAACTCTTCACTGTGGAGCCTTCTGCCCTGGTCCTTCTGCCAAGGCCCTGTCACCTTAGGGACAAGAGCAGTTCTAACAGACTCCAGCTTTGGTCTGGGTCTCAATCCCAGCGGCCAAGCACACCCTAGTCATCACTGAACCAAAATTCAGGTTCTGTGTCAACCATTTTTACTTCCCAGACACCTCAGTGCAGCAGAATGAGGCTCTGCTAACCCCTGGTGGCTAATGGGATAAGAAAGGAGGGGGGCGTGAGTAAGGATAACTCAAGGAGCAGAGCGACTGCAAGACCCAGGGAGAGAATCAGCAAGGGACAATATGGTGATGAGCTCAGAACCAGCTCCCTAGTGCTGCCCTGGGGTCCCAGCCCCCTTCCCAGTAATGTGGTAGCTGCCAAGACCCTGTACCCATCTCCTGTGAGACTTACCAGTAGTCCATGACCATGACACAGCTATCCAGATCAACGAAGGTGAAGGCTCGGATACATTTGTACCCACTGATGTCAAAGAACTCTGGGAAAGAGAGAAGAGAGGGACATACGAGCCAAAAGCCATGTTCAAGGCTCCGGCAGTATCTAGAGGTGGCAAGCAACCTCCCAGAACTCCCTGCCATCTCTCTGGCTCTGTAGCCTACCCCACCCCACCCCCATCCCCACAGCAATAAAAGGCAACAGATCCGAGCACAGCTGCTAACCTAGCCAGATCCAGCTGCAAACTATCCTCTGATCCCCACTGCAGCCAGAACAAAACTCCAGTGCAAACCTCAGCCTGTAAAATCCTACAAGGTCAGCCGGGCAGTGGTGGTGCACGCCTTTAATCCCAGCACTTGGGAGGCAGAGACAGGCAGATTTCTGAGTTCGAGGCCAGCCTGGTCTACAGAGTGAGTTCTAGGACACCCAGGGCTATACAGAGAAACCCTGTCTCGAAAAAAAAAACAAAAACAAAAATAATCCTACAAGGTCAGACCCTCCACAGCCCATGCCTGGTCTGCAGCCCCTGTCCAGCTCCCAGGCTCAAGGATGCCAGATTCTTACCATTGTAGGTGTATCAACATCTTCCACTTCTGGGTCCTGCTCTGCCCATCTTGAATACCCCCAGAGCCCCTCCAGACCACCTCCATGACCCCCTCTTAGAACGGCCTCTCCCTCCTCTGCTAGGCCCGCTGACATCCTCCCACTTGGTTGGCTGCCAATCAATCTCCCTCACTTATTTCTCTTGTATTTGAATACGGGAGCTGCCTGTCCTGGCCTGAGATCTGTGTGAGGGCAGAGAGCATGTGAGTGGGGCACCTGTGCAATCCTCAGTATCTGACACAGCACCCAGGGCCCTACTTTGCTGAGTGACTGCGGCTGTGATGCACAAATAAAGGAACAAGGGCCAAGCCTTGCTTATGTGGGTAGCAGGCAATGTCTGGTTCCCTTAGTCCGTCCGTCCGTCCGTGTGTGTGTGTGTGTGTGTGTGTGTGTGTGTGTGTGTGTTAGGTGTTCAGAGCAGATAGAAACAGATACATCACTTCCACATCACTCAACACCTCTTATCAGGGCTAGAGCTAGGAACTCCCTTCCCACAAGCAGATCAGAGGCCAGGTAAGCTCATGACATGCAGGTGCATATGAAGAACATCTTATAGAGTGGCTTTGTGCAGGCTCACCCCATCCCTCACTGTCTGGTACCAGTCTGCCAGACTTTGATCTTCTGAATACATTATTTTCATTCTGCCCCAAAGCCTTCCATGGGGCCCTGACAGGCAGCTGCTCCTGGTAAACTCCCCCACCTTGAAAGTCTGGCTCCTGGCAGCCCTGGCCTCAATTCGGTCAGTCCCCCACATTTGAATGACAGGTCCTCAAGTGTCAGCTTCCTACAGGGCTCAGCCACCCAAGAAGGGATATGGGACACAGAGCAGGGCTAGCTGGGCTGAGCCACATAAGGCAAGGCCCATGCTGGTATCCTTCCACACTTGGCCTTGACCAAATGCCCTGAGCAGACCACATCTGTTCAGTCCGAAGAACTTGATGGCATGAAGTGATGAGGCCAGGCCCTCAGGGTTGAGGCCACCAGGAATGATGGGTAGCAGCAAGCTCTAACTATTTAAGCCTTTGCCTATGACTGGCTGCTCCTAGATGTGTCCAGTCTGTCCCCTTGATTAAAGGACCTACTGTATGCCAAGCAACTTCACACATCCAATCACTAACCCACACTCACCCTAGAGATTGAGAGCATTGGGTCCTGTTTCCCTCTGGATAGACTAAGGCCCTCGAAGGTACATAGCTACTCAGAGTCACAGCCCTACTGAATGGCAGGACCAAGGTTGAAACCTGGGCACTGGCTGTTTCAGCCATTCTCCATTCATCCTTCTATTTAGTGCTGCACCATGGGCTGTGGGTACACACATGAATGTCCTCTCCATGACGGCCTGGAACAGATCATCAATTGGACCCCGTATTCGTCTACCCACCTACCCACTGCCACTAAGCCTCTGGGTGGCACTAGGCACAGAGATATGGATGTGAGTGAAACAGATGCAGTCCCTAGAGACCAGGCTCCAACATAGAGGAGAAGGCAGACATCTAACACTCATGCTGAAAAAGATCACACTCTAAAGGGTCGTGGCAGAGAGAGGGCCTTATCTGGTGCAGATTTTGTTAAGAGGCACCTGATTTGGACTAGGTGGTCCAAGAAAGCTCTCTGGAGGAAGTAACACTTGTGATGAATCAAAGGAAAAGTAGAAGCTCTGGGGTGGGGAGGTATGTGGGACATAAGGCACAACGTCCACATTTACCCACAGTGCCCATCTGAGGAGGCAAGAGAAGGTCACAGTAACCTCAGCACGACAGGAGGAAGGGTCTGGTCCAGGGAAAACAACGGACAGCAGGGGCCAGACCTTCCTTGTCCTCATGGGCCACACTGAGGATCCTCCTCCACCCTGTGCTTTGTTGGGGTGAGGGCTGTAAAGGTTTTCTGCAGGGAGACATTTCAAAAGTCCATTTGTAGCTATAGGGACCTTCAGAGGAAAGGCGCTAAGCAAGAGGAGGCTTCTATGTTATTCCAGTGACCACTGAAGGAGGCCTGGGCTGGAGGCAGCAAGAAGCAAGGGGCAGAACCAAGCTAGAGAGAACTGCGTGGGCTGTGGTTTAAAATTTGAACTGTTCAATACTTGTAGACATTCAGCATTCACTGAGCACACCTGCCTACAAAAGCCATCACCAACACAAGTGACTGGCACCCAATGCCTCTCTTTTAAGGCTTCTCTAGCCAACGACAGTCCCAGAGGACTCCCATGCATGCTCACGGTTGCTCAGCCAACAGGTCTGTACCACTCGACAGAAGCCAAGGACAGGCCTGGAGAGCCCAGGGGACGGACTCACCTATCTTCAGCTCAGTGGAGGCAACTGCAATGAGGTTTATGTTGTGCAGGTATGCCACGTCGATAACCCACATCTGCTGGTGGCCGTACTGCTTGGTCTGGGTAAGCTGGCAGAACAGAGGAGGCTCAGGCCCTGGAGGGTTGCTAGCAGAGTGATCAGGAGGCAGGGATCTTTCCTGCCATACAGGACCCTGGAGCCAGTTCAGTCCTGACATGGAACCTTATCTCAGCACTAAAAACAGGGCCTTGACTAAACTCCAGGCTGTTTCCTTGTCTGTAAAATGAGCCTAACTTTTCGGATCCCAGTGTCTTAAGGCCAGGCCCACCTCCAAAACCTGCCATTTGCATAACAGTGAGCATCCCCAGTGGGTATTTTCCAATGGACCCTTGCCAATATCTAACCCCAAACCAGCTCCTCCAGGAAGACTCTCCAGAACTCTCAAGACTTCCCAGAAAGGCTTCCTCTGTCTCCTCAGCCTCCTCGGAGGCACAGAGGTAACGATACAGCAGCCACTGTCAAGAGGTTGGGTTAGTAACACCTCCTTCTATACACATGTGGAAAAAAGGAAGACATAGTATGCCAGAACCACAGAAGCACTACACACACACACCACATATACACACACATACACACACCACACATACACACACCACACACACATACACACATTCACACACACATACAGAGAGGAGAGAGAGAGAGAGAGAGAGAGAGAGAGAGAGAGAGAGAGAGAGA